GGACGATCACTTTGTTCATGCCGTAGTCGCGCCTGCTTGAAACGCTGCTGCTTCTCAAGTTCACCAGGACTCGATGACAAGGCACGGCGTTCCATGGCACGTCTAAAGAGGTCCGGCTCATAGCCTGGATCCTGGAGATACCTACTTAACGTAAAATGACCAGGGGTACCAGCGCTACCTGTGGACCTATTGTCCAAACGAGTGCCCGCAGTGGCTGCTCTTGATTTCGATGGTTCTTCTTCGGAGATGCCCGCAGTGGCTGCTCTTGCTTTCGAGGGTTCTTCTTTGGAGATGCCCGCAGTGGCTGCTCTTTGTAGGCCCTCTGGCTCTTCATCATCTTTTGTGGGCTGCCCTGGCTCTTGATTTTGTTCTTTGGGATCTCTTGCAGGGGTCCCGGATCTCGGGGCCCGACTACCACGTGAAACACCTTTGCTCCTGTCCTCGGGGAACACGTAATCGTCGTAGAGGTCGTAGTTGCCGGCCTGAAGTCCTTGCACCAGACTATGGAAAGTCCATCCAGGAGTCACCTCGTCTCCCGCACTCTCAGCTAGGGCTGCTTCTCTTTCTGAAGCATGCCGCAATTGATCGGGAGAGCACCTTTTTAAACGCCCCGCACTCACAATCCAGACAACATGTCCTGGCCGTCTTGTCTCAGCATCAGTCCGGGTCTCAGTAGCAAGTACACGTCCCGGACCATACCATCTCCCCATTCCAGCCTTTGGTATCCCTAATGTAGGATGGGCTGGACGGTCAGCGGGCACCTTCTCTCGCCGATAGTACACCAGATCACCCGCCAAGAACTTTCTCAGAGGCCTCGCGCGCATGTTCAGAAGTCTGCTCAGCTGTGAACTGGCTTGCGACTTCCGGTAGACTTCCTCAGCCTGCATTCGAAGATCCAGGCTTTGACCAAAACCATGTAGGGTGAGAAACCCTGCCGCCTGTGCAGATTGTTACGCGCAGCAAAAACATTCACAATAGCACGATAGGGGTCCATGGTCTCCCCGTGCAGCAAAGTCATCGCATCGGCTTTAATCTTGCCTATCAGGGTTTCCACCTGTCCCGTTTGATGATGTGCTTCTCCTGGATTGGGAAGCACCTCGATGCCTCGTGCGGCCGCCCAATCTTCCAACAGCCGAGATCGGAAGCATCCTTCCGGGTCCAGGCGAACCCTGTCAGGAAACCCATAACTCTGGATCCACGCCTGCTCAATGGCCTTGAGAGCCTCTTCTGCAGTTGCATTCCGGCCTTCATCTACATGTCGACGAAAAAGCTCTGCGGCAACAGCAAAGTGAGTGGCTTCATCAACAATCAACATGAAGTGCACAACCTCATCCCCAACCCTGCATTCTGCATTGTCCAGTATCATCACCTTCCATGGAACATCTGTCTGCTGCAAGGACACTGCCGGGGAGGAGTCTGGAAGTCGAGTTTCCAAACAATCAGGACACTTCATCTTCAAGGCCATTATCACCACTTCAGGATGTACGCCGCGGCCTCGGAGCATGGAGGCTAAAGTCTGGTTTGAGGGATGTCCGGAGCGGGCATGTAGCACCATCTTCTCAGCTCTCTTGCGGGCTTCTGGAGTCAGTCCGTCCGACAACAACGGTTCATCCCGAAGTCCAAAAGCTGACTCCGACTCCATGGGATACTTGACACACGTGGCAATGCTTTGCCGGAGAAGATGTTCTGGAGCCCCGGCTGCATCGCCTCGTCGATGTCGATGTTCAAGGATCTCCTTGAGCTGAACATGATGATGTCAACATCCGGGAAGTGCGCTCATGACTTTCTCGTTGTTGCCGCCCTTCAACATCCTCCAGGTCTCCCTTCACAATGTGCTGGTGCACATGCTTCTGTTTGATTCCTTGGAGGTAGAAGGTCCGGAATGTCTCATCTCGCCACAAGGCACACTTTTGAGGACACACGAGAAGCCATTGTCCTCCCCGTTGTCCATGTTCCGTCAGCAGCTCCAGAGTGGCACGAAGAACTCGTCGGGCTCGTTTTAATCTCCTTGCCCGTTGCTCACCTTGACATTCCCGTACATCAAAGCCTTGAAAGTTGTGTCTCATTATGATCCATGCTGGGTTGTCCTCCTGGAGCTGTGCTTGTAGTCGCTTCATGGCACTCGTAGATGTGAGATCAAAGTCATACGTGCTGCAGAAACGATGTTTCACATGGTACCGTTCCAGGGTCTTCCTCAGCTTTACCGAAAGATGCATACCGACTTCCACAACATCCACTGCTCGCTCAGGCCGCGCTGGAAGATCCACCAGCACGTCTTCACACTCCTGCATTTCATAGGACATTTGCTCCACCAGCCAGTCCTTAGCCTCTCCCGTAAGTGACCGACTCTCGCCCAGCAAGCCCTCGTCGTCTTGAGTCAGCATGAGCTGTCCGGTCTCGGGAGTTGGCCGTAGTGGAAGTCGCGGACGTAGAAATCGGAGTCGTCGAAGTGCAGCAAGGATGTCTCCCTGACATTCAAAGATAGATCTCACTGAGTGCGCCCCAATGGTGATGCGTTGTCCCGTCCATGGCTCCACAGACTGTGGGACTCGGGGATCAAAGATCACTACCTGATCCTTGGTCGGGAGAACATATCCCCGCAGCTGTTGTCCTGAGGAGTCCGTCCGAAGTTCATCCCCCTCGGGGTTTGCGGTCCACAAGCCTCCATTGACATAGTCCCCCAGGCCCACGATGGCATTCAGCCCAACATTGTTGATATCTTTGTGCACCGGGACCTCGTTGTCATCGGAAATCACAAAGGAAGTCCAACCGAAGTCACCAGGCACCTTGGGCTTGATGAAGTTGTTCACATACTTCACCAACTCAGGCTGTGTCTCGGTGCGGCGTGTGAGACCTCGGTGATTTCCACGAACATACAGGGCATAGACGAGGTACTTGTCCCATGCAGTAGAGGTCGATGTTTCGGTAGTCGAGAATCGGGATGAGGTCCTCGGGTCACACTCACGAAGTCGCCGAAGTAGACCAAGGCACGCGCCCATTGAAAAATCACCTTGGAGCCTCAGTTCCCGGGCATGGTTTTCGAGTTCCTGTCTCTCAGACTCTGCCATAGCAATCACAGACTCCTCTAGGGCTCCGGTTGATCCACCCGGGTCCACTGATCTCTCGCCTGAAACTCCAGCTCCTCGCTCGGGATCTCCCTCTGTTTCTTGCGACCCGGTGTGGTCCCCATCATCTGATCTGAGCTGGTAGCCTGTTGTGTCTGAGAGGGCTCGATCGCCTTGCCCCGGGACTTGGGCGCAGCTCCTGTCTTCCTCTGGATCTCTGCGTTCTTCTGCTCGCGAACCTTCGCCAGCTTGGTCAGCAGCGACTGCTCGGCACCCTCGAGGGCAATCGCCTTGGCGCGGAGGGTCTCGCCATCCACAATCTCTCCACGCCTCTCCTTCTCCTGGTGCTCGGTCGTCACCACTTCGACGTCTCGGGGAAGATGCCCGGCTTGGCGAAAGTGGCCTGTTGCCCCGTATGCTGGAACATACAGGAGCCTCAGTTTGCAAAGCTGGCAAATTTTCCAGAGTCCACTTTGATTGCACCCCGACAGACTTCCTCTCCCCATTGGTGCCTCGCTGTGTCGACCGTGGCAGGGATAGCCACTCGTCCTCCCATCTCGAGGGTCTGGCCCCACTTGGCGGTTGAAGTCGTAGCGCTCTGTCATCGGCACTTTCGGCTTCGCCTTCTCCTTGCCCTTGGCAATCTTGACCTTGTCGTTGGCCTTGGAGTCGCGGCCATCGTGGTGCTCGTTGCGCTCGTCCTCCTCCGTCGCCTGAAAGCTCGGCGCCAGAGGGGTCTTTGCATGGGTCGTCGCTGGATAGCTGTTCGAAGCCATGAGCAACGAGAACAGCACCAGCAACAGCTAACTTTCGACTCGTCGTTGAGCCCATCTCATGCGGTTCGAGCGAGCACTGCACATCACCTCCATCATGTCCTTGCTCTGCACACTGACCATCAGGATCACGCTGACTGAACTGGACATGCATGTCTGACACAACAGCTTTTCCAAGGGGATCATGTACGACTGCTTTTCCAAGGGGATCATGTACGACTGCTTTTCCAAGGGGATCATGTACGACTGCTTTTCCAATGGGATCATGTACGACTGTTTCTGTACCCCGGCATCAGACTCACTCTTCGAGGAAACCTTGAACCCTTGAGCCCCGGAGCACTCCTTGTATCGGGACGCAAGCTGACGTATGATGCTGGGTCCTCGTCCGGGAAAATGAGTATCGAACACTGTTGCCCCGGTCATCCAGTCTTTTGTCAAGTCGATCATCAAATGACCGGAGCCGCTCTCCACGAGAGGGATAATGACCTTGGAGGAAACACGTTTGAAGCAAATGGAGGGAGCTGAAAAGTCGATGACCGCCCCGAGCCGCTTCAGTGTCTTAACTCCCACAAGAATTGGAACTTGAGGGACATCTAGCGTGAACACACCGAGAGTCACCTTTTCGCTTTTGAGGACCTGCGGCAGGTGAAGGTAGGATGCGGCCTCCTTCTTTTGTCCATTCCCGAACCGAAAGGACCGGGTGTAGTTCGGATATACAGCCACAGTCTCGAGACCAAAGACTTCACGACGTCTTGACATAACAGCCTCGATTGCCTCCAAGGAGCCGACCGTCTCGGTCGCCCCACTGTCAACGATGCCGAATCCCGGGTACATCTGTCCCGAGGTTGTCAAGGCGGAATCTAGCTTAAGCACGTCGTGCAGGTCGGCCTCATCCTCATGCTCCCTGATCTCGGTGTAGCAAAGAAGGTTCCCGGAGGGCGTAGTCTCCGGTATCAGCTCCTCGTCGACCCATGTAGGATGATGCAGCTCCTTTGCCTCGTCCGCCAGGAGTCCCAGTGTTCCGCTTGGGACACTGACGATAATCGTGAGTTTTCTCTCCACAGATGAAACAACCCGTATAGGTTGGGCTTCCTGGCTTTTGGGGTCCGGGCCCTGAGGCAGTCGATCGCCCTTTTCCTTCTCCAACAGCAGCAAGGACTTGGGAAGGCTTTCCTTTGCCCTTCCCCTTCCCTTTCGACTTACCGTTGCATCCCTTGCTCACTGGGAAGAAACCACGAGCTGCATTGCGGGAGGCAACCAACTGTCTCGACTCCTTGAAGTTCCTTATCTTGCTCTGGTACTCGCATGGCTTTCTCCACTACCTCAAAGTCAAGGGAGTTATTCGTTGCGGCCAACACAGCGAGCCGCGCATGTCCAGGTAGTCCCGAACGCCGAAGGAGCATCCACCCAAGGATCTCTGGAGGCAGGACCTCGAGCTCCTCTAACTCGTACGTGTCCCATTCTGGATCCGGCAGGGGAGTGCCTCCTTCGTCATCGGAATCGTCACGGTCTCGACGTCGTCGCCAAGAACGGTCTAACCTGCTCCCAAGATCCGGAACAGGAGTCCGGCCAAGCTTGGCTTCTAGAAAGTCTAGAAGGTAAGCGGCACCGTTCCGCTCCTGAAGTTTGCCAGCATCAAGCTCAGTGCTCACCTCCCAGGCTCTAGCGGTAAGCCTTGATGCCAAAGATGCACCCAGAAGTGCTCTCTTCTTCTCCGGTGTCTTCATCCACTCCAGCCGTACTCGTCGAACATAGTCTAGCCATGTCCCTGGGCTTCATCCCATCCAGGAACTTGGGACTGCATCATGTCCTCCAAATAGCGGCCGTCCTCCTGAAGCACCGGCTGGTCCACGCTGCGCAGCTTGTTCTCAAAGCGGGGTTCAGCGGTTGGCAGTGGCAGCTGTAGGTCCCAGGAGCCAAGTCCCTTCTCTGGACAAGGCTCCGCTACCAATTCTGGTAGCAATCCAAGGCACACACAATAGTGCCAAAGCATTGCCAAAGCGCAAGCAGCTGAAAGACACGACCTGTCCTTTTGCTGCGAGGCGAAGTCAAGGCCTTCACGGCATGTGCTCGTAGCATAGCAATCTCAACGGAAAACTTGGCAAAAGGGTTCCCTTGAACCACCATGTGGCGGTAAGAACGTTGGCATCAACTCTCATGTCTGTGCATGCAAGCGACTGTACCTGATTTAAGTGCACACAAAGACAGCGGCCGGGTTGAGGCCCCTCCGTCTCTCTCCAAGGGCTGGGGCCTTGAACCGCTCGCGGCCTTGAGCCAAAATGGCTACCGCCTCTCTCGCTCTCGCTCTCTCTCTCTCTCTCTCTCTCTCTCTCTCTCTCTATCTTCGCTTTGCTTAGCTTAGGGCATAGGGCGGGAGCAGCCCTCCCGTCCCGCGCAATGATTTTCAATGGATGGGCTCTGCTGTACGAATCAGGTGCCCCGAAATTGTTATCCCCTGTGCGGGGTGCTTGTTTGCTGGCAACGGTGCAAGTTCAAGGACCATTGCAGCTGCTGAAGTAAAAGCAAAAGTGTGTGCAGGAGGGGAAAAGCTTGCTTGAATTACCGGCCTTGCAAGTCTTATGCCTGCCACGGGCACTCCATTCTGAGGTACAAGGAAATCTTATGCGGGTGCCCCTCAGCACAAATTAAAGCGGGTTATATGGCATCAACGGGACGAGCCTTCCACTTTTTAGACAGCGGCAGCAGGGTTGTACGAGGATCCGGGCTTTCCCGGTGTCTTTGCAGAGTGTACGAGGTGTACTGCTCCAAAACTTGTAGCTTTTGGGTGCTCTGCCGTGTAGTCTGTGCTCACTGTGTGTCGACGAAACCTCCAGATCCAAAGGGTGTGGAGTGCATTCTTGGTGTCGTTGCCCAAGTCACGATCTTGAAGTAGGTGCTGGCAGTCTCCCAGTGTAGGTCTGCTGTGGCAGGTCGCCTAAGACGTAGGAGTCCTGTAGGGTCGCCGACTGCGGTCAGGTAGCGGGTCACAATGTCCCTAAGGTTCCTGACAGCAGCGGTCACCCTCGGGCTGCGTTGCACACCTAGGTCCCCCTTTGAAGCGGTGTGCCCCGGCAGCGTTGTGGATCTCCTTCTCGGCCAGCAGCAATCGCTCCGGGGAGCGGGTGGCAGAGAGAGTCAGGCGCCCGGGTTGAGGTCCCACGAGGTGCCACGCGAAGAGAGAGGAGGAGAGAAAGGGCAAGAAGCGAAGAAGGGGGGCGGAGTGCACCTCGGGGCCTTGAACCGCTCACGGCTTGAGCCAAAATGGCTCTCTCCATCTCTCGCTCTCTCTCTCTCCTCTCTCAGACAGCTTCTTGCTCGCTCGGGAGTTGTCAGATTTGCGCCTGCCACCACTCACTGACACCAAACCAGCCATCCGACCAGTGCCCGAAAGGCTGTCTGCCTTGGCCCAGGCGTCTCGACCGACTCTTGCAACTTCCATTACCGCTACCTCTGCGTTGAGATGCTTTGAGCACACACGCACACACATACAGACACACCTGGCAACAAATGCTCGAAAGATCACACGCACAAAGACTGATGTCGTACAGGCCCGAAGAGGCCCGGAGCACCAGAAACTCTGGACACTCTCCCTACGTCTTCCGGCTCTCGTGCTGTACTGCAAGACTATAATGCTGTGCAACTGTGTCCGAGAAATCCCGGCTACTGTACTCTTCACAGAGTGCTCAAGATGCTCAAGATGCCCCTGCAGTGGACCAAGCACATGGAATGCAGCTTCGAGGTCCAGATCCACCCTGTGGCCTTCTGCCGTTGCTATACGTGTGCTCTCGGAAGACGCTCTAGACCGATGCATGCAGACAACCCTGCAGGGTCAAGAGTTGTTGCGGTCTATGTTGAGAAGATTCTCCAAGGTGGGCTCCTGATCAAGACCTATTGAATACGTACAGAAGTGCTCGGAAGCTCGTGCAGTGTGCCGAGTTGCAAATTTTGGGTGCACGTATCCTGCAACGACTCCTTCCGCAGGGGCCTTCAAAAAGTGCACCTCAGAGCATACCGGCAGCACGCACCACAGGTGCAAGGCTCTGAAATCAGCTTCAAACATTCGCGAGGACGAGTTTTTCGCCCAGTACCTTATCCGGTGCACTGGTTCTAAGAGCTGCGAGTTTGCACTTCATGGCAGGCGTCTGACAGCACTTCTGGCAAGGCACGATTACGACAGCGAGCAATAGCAAATCTTGCCGGGCAGCACTTCCAAGCTCCAGCAAGGCTTCAGAAAGAGGTGCTCCCTCGCGAAGTTGCCTTTGCCCGACTAAGACGCAACTAGCTGACGTAGCTTCGCCGCACTCAACGGGCCCTCCGTCTTGGGCTTGGACGAAGGCCTCTCCGGACCATCTGCCACTCTCATTGCCAGTGCGGCCTGGTGAGACAGAGTCTGGCCATTTGCGTGCAACGGACGGGACAAGCATCTGGCAACTCCACTCTCGAGCCTCAATACCTGCGTCCGCTGTCTCAGGCTCCGCCGCAAGCATCTTCGCGAGGTGCCTCAGGGTCCTGCAGCACAGTGAATGCACTTGGCAAGGCTACTACACTCTGGAAGTTCCAGGGAGCATACTGCTGAAAGAGCTCGTTCCGGGTCACGAAATCCGTCTCAGCCTCAGGCTTCCCGGCATAGCTCTTGTGAAGTGGGGGTGCACTGGGAGAAGCGCCCTTAGCTCCACGATAACCCCGTTTTTGTCAAGGCCCAGGGAGAGAAGTGCCTCAGAGATTGCCGGGCCCAGAGTGGATCTTCGCTTGTCCGCAACGCCAAGGGCCAAGGTCCTGACTTCCATCGATTCTGCAGCACGCTTCTCCATGGATCGCACGCCACGCTTCTTCAACCATTCCACCGCCTGCCACTCAGCGACAAGAGTCCTGTTGCCGCTCAACTTTCCGCTTGCGATCGCTCGCCACTTGCACCTCTTCCAATTCACCGCTCTCTTTCAGCGCTTCCCGACACCTGAGGCAGCAGACTTCCGACAGATGTACTAAGCACACGAGCTCCAAAAGACGGTCATGTCTGAGATGATGACTTTCCTGCCAGCAGGGAGACAAGCTAACAAACTCTACTGAAGGCCAGGTGATGAGACCGTGGTGAGGCGCACCCATCGAGGCCCCGGTCCGATCTCTGAGCTCCTGGACATAGTTTTGCCGCTTTTCGCCGACGAACTACGAACCACAGAATCAGTAAAGAGTGGTAAGCGAGGGTCAGTTCGCACAATATGTTCCACCCTTCGGCCGACTTCCAGCGCAGGCTCGCGGAATTTAGGTTCATCGCCAGGCATACACCGAACAGCTTCCAGCTGACTCCGGCGTCGACCGCACGTAGACAGGGAGCGAGGCTTTTTCGTCACAGCAACTATGGTATCAACATTCCAACATGGTGGGCCATGGTGGGCCTCTGCCGAAGCCTTGAGAGCCCGTTGTTACCACGACAAGAAAAAAGACTCCACCCCATAACAAGAAATGTTGGCACCACGACAGAAAAACAACTTCACCATGACAGTGCATTGAAAACCTTACCACGACAAGGCATCAACACCTCACCACGAGAAGGCATTGAAACCTCACCACGACAAGGCATCAGCAGCAGCAGCAGCAGCAGGACACATCAGCAGCAGCAGGACACGTCAGCAGCATCAGCACATACCAGCATCAGCGGCACATATCAACTGGTCTTTCCGTGCGGATGCCTCTGAACTGGTCTTTCGGCGCGGGGGGAGGGGGGAGGCACGGGAATCACCATTTTTGCCCTTTTCGGACTCTAAATCCTTCAAAATAGGTGACTCCCCCGCGTGGGGCGGAGCTGGGCGGAGGGCACGCGGGAACCACCATTTTACCGTTTACCTTTTTCAGAGCCCAAATCCTCCAAAATGGTGACTCAGGGTGCGGGAGTCACCTTGTTGAGGCTTTCAAAGCCCCGCGTGGGGCCGGGGGGGGGGTCACCATTTTGCAGTTTGAGAGCCCTCTCCTCCAAAACGGTGAATCCCGCGCACGCGGGAATAGGCTCTGGAAATGGCCGCATGGTGACTCGCGCATGCCCTCCCCCACCCCCTTTTGAAGGATTTGGGGGGGCTTTTTTCATGGCAAAAAAGGCGACTCCTGCGCGTGACTCCCCTGCGCGGGGGTGCCACGAGGGGGAGCCTCCAAAATTGCCATTTTTTGCCATTTTCAAAGCCTAATAGGGGGGAAGGCCCGCGCGGGAGTCAGATTATGGGGGAGTCACCATGATTCCCACGCGTGCCCATTCCTGTGCGTGCCCTCCCCCCCGTCCCTATGCGAGGCAGTGAGGATTTTGGGCTCTGACAATCACAAAATGGTGACTCCCACGCATGCCCTCCACCGGCCCCACGTGGGGGAAACAGCAGAATTTGGGCTCTGAAACCCCACGCGGGAGTCACCTATTTTGGAGGGTTTGGGCGCTGAAAACTGCAAAATGGTGACTCCTGCGCATGCCCCCTCTGCCCCAAACAGTGGAGTCATCCTCCAAAAATTGTGACTCCCCTGCATGGGGCGCGGGCAGGCACGCGCGGGAGTTTTATCCTCCAGATGGTGACTTTCCCGCGTGGGGCCGGGGGAGGGCACGCGTGCCGCTTTCAGAGCCCAAATCCTCCAAAATGGTGATTTCCTTGAGAGTTAGTTCAAGAAGTTCTCATCAGATCATGTGCACACGAGCAGCTTGCAGACGGCATGATTTATTTGCATGTGTTAAGCTTACACTTGGTTCCTGATGCAATCTTATCGCAATCACCAAACCCGCACATGCTGCTAGGCTTGTACAGTTGAGCCTAAACCCTTGTCAGTGTAAGGAAATAGCTTGTCGTTGTGGCTAGAAAGCTTGTCAGTGTGTCTCCAAACCTTGTCGCGGCAAGCAAGGACCTACTGTGCCGGAGCCTTGCTGCATTTTCATCACTTTCGTGATTAAACTCAACCTTCTCACGCTTTCGCTCTGCAGTCCTTGACACGTGCTGCCGACACCGCACAGAAGCCATGTCTTGCGGCCTTGAAGCAAGCAGGTGACGGCGGCGCCTCATGTGTGGGGCTGGCATGGGAAAGAGTCAAAGAAAAGACAGCGGTAAATCGATGTTGTGTCTCTTGGTTTTGATTTCGACCAATCTGCCAGCTGATCGAAAAGCTGGCTCCAGTTTCGGGAAAGGGCACCTGCTGTCACCGACTACTGTCAGACTCTTGCACAAGAACCCACTGTACAAGATCCTTAGCTGCTACCCACAGCTCAGATTCACAAGCTCGGGTTGCCTGAAGAACAAAAGAAGGTAGGGTTCAGTACCTTTCGGGGTCAGGTGTGCATTTTGGGTCGATCTCGGTGTGACCGTGCTTGTTTCGGAAATCCTCGAATTAAGATAAAAGCCTGGGTGTGCTCAGGTTCTTATTTAGAGGGTTGGTGGAAGCTTGAGATTGAGATTGAGCTGATGCCATGCGAGGATTTTGCTCCCAAAGCTTAGCGGAGTGTCGAGCATTCTTGGACTAGCAAACGGATTTCTTGACTGTTGCTGATCTGACCTGAGCTGCAACCATCGGGATCGCAACAATCCGTTTCGCTGTGCACTTGCAGGCGAGCACCTCCCGATACTGCCCCCTCAACAGGGAAACCGATGCTTTCCAGTCCCATTCATCCGGGGCACCTTGCACCCTTGATGGCCACCGGGGTACACACGATGCACTGCCGCATATTAAGTTGCACATCTTCAGACCGATGCTGACTTGCCTACCGTTCCATGTGCAAAACGGGGTTCTGGCTATGTGGATTCACGAACCACACACCCTCACAGTGCTTGCATACTCTGGGTGCTTGTGTGCGTTGCCACTGACCTTCAAGGGGGAGGATGCGTTTCCGTATATCCCTAGCACGCAAAAAATAAGGATTTACCGGACTGGCCCGGACCATAGCGCGGAGCAACGGCACTCACACCTTACACACACACACACACACACACACACACACGTGTGTGTGTGTGTGTTCCCAGTTTCCCAATACAGAAAAATCCGTCTGCAACGAACCCGGCTTGGCCACGGTAGGATGGTGGGGTCTTGACGCGCGCATGTCAGTACCTTGAGCCAAACTGGCCACGGTCGCCTTGAGGGGGGCTGGAACCTCCGACACGAGTACTCCCCGGTCTGGCCGTGTCTGGTGGTCGTGTGTCGGGACTGCTTGCATGCCTGTCTGCCCCTGTCTGCAATTGTCTCTACCTTGTTTTGTAAAGCGACTTCTGAGACCCGCATACCAGCAAGTTAAGGCAGGAGGAGATGTAAATCACGTGCGGACAGAGCTAAGCCGTTGACTCGGCTCCAGAGCTCCACGAGGCTACGCCTGTCAGACTCACTTTTGACTCTCCGTGACTCCTCTCTGCGTTGCGTGAAGCTGTCACAATTGACCTACGGGCCTACGATTGTCCGCTGGGGTTCTTCTGACGTGCGAGGCAGCATAGCCCAGAGCCACACAATGGGTTGCGCAGAAGGGATGTGATGCCTGGAGCTGCACCATGCACCAGGCAGCTGCAACAGATTGCCTTACAGAGACCGACACGCGTTGATTTTGGCTGGCTCAGTCGCAGGCACTCGTCTACAGCGGGAGGAAGCAACTCCACAAAGTGCCCATGCCACAGAAATGCACTGCAAGTGCGTCTGCATGCGTCTGCTGCATGGCCCGTGCTTGCATCAGTCTCAGCCCCTTGCGCATGCACATGATGCTCAACAGACACCCAAATGACAGCTTGACAGCTAACCCCGCTTTGCCTGCGACTGGGGTTAAAGTCTTTGTTTAGAGATAAAAGGCTGCTGGTTCAAATCTTCAATTTCTGGCAAAAAAAGCTCCTCAAATGGCAGAGGAGAGGCTTCAGAACTTCGTGCGTCTTGTTGTGCCGAAATGTGATGAGACACGCACACTCACACACGCGCACACACAATTCCGCAGACGTGCACGCGCACACACACACACACTTACTTTTGCTACCGCTGAACAGGTCCAACCTTCTTTTCTGACTTTGCCATTACCTCGCCCATTGATTTCACAACTCGCCGCAGCCGAAGGTGAGCTCATGCTTTTACGGCAGGGTCGTGTCACAAAAGACACTCTGCCGGCAGACTCCACGCTGTTGTCCAAGATTCTGAGCATTGTACACACAGTGCGGCATCTTCTTGTTGGGCAAGCCGATCTCGACAGACGCTGGGTGCAAACACAGCGGTGGTGGACCCATCCACCCATCAGCGGGGCTTGAGGAACATCCTTGACTGAACGAGTCATAGAAAACAATGACGGAACTGCCTGATACCGTAGGAATGTGGGCAACGTCAGGTGCTGTTGGGGTGCGCTACGGTCAAGAACTTGGAGTCAAGAAGCGTCACTTCTTCTGCCTCGCAAGCTCCCTTCCTCGTTGTTCCGCCTTGTCCTCCTCCGACCTGATCTGAAAACTTGGCATTCCCTCTCATTTAAGGCTTGTCGACGGCTAAGAAGCGAGCATTCCTTTGCTCTTTCCCTTACCTTTCTTTCCCTTACCCTTGCCCTGACAGCAAAGGTACGCAATCTTACCGCTTTGCATGCGTGAAGGTGTTCTGCCCGCCTTTCCCTTGCCAGGGTTCCGCCGGAAGAAGTTCTTTCCTGTTTTCGAGACTGTGTGCGCGTTGAACACCTCCTCAGCCCACAGGCGGCGGTGCAGAACACGTCACGACACCACCAAAATCGTCAAAAGATATGGCTCTGCAAATGCAAATCGAAGGCACGTCACAAACCAGGCAGGCCTGGCAGCATTTGGGCATTTGGCAGCCCAAGCGACACGACTTCATGGCTCTCGTCTGCTGAAGACACCAACCAGCTGGTTCTCTCTCAAACTTCGGACTGACTTTATTTGTCACCCCTGATTGCCTTCTTTTCCATCTGGCCGTCCGGCAGCGGTGACTTGCCCTTGCTGAACACGACTTCAAGCAGAACAGACGAACACCTGCTCCACAGGCATTCACATTGTGTTGCATCAAGCATGAGAATAAACCTGAGCCAAGCAACTCCTCGCAGTGGTCACTTGTGACCTTGATCTTGTGCGCCTCTCACTGCACGCGGAGCTCACCCGCTCAAACTCCTACCTGGTCCTAGCCTTGTCCTCGAAAATTGCCAGCTGCTGCAAGCCTCGGGCTAACAGCAGTGCGAGAATTCTTGAAAGCTGAATCGCGTTCTTAGGTCACCGCAGACGTTGCAATCGATTTGCCACTTTGGTCCGGAGTCCACGTCTAAGCAGAGAGTTCCAGAACAGTTGTCGGCGATGCACGACATGACCTGGACAGCAGGCAAGTCCTCCCAATGCGGCCCCATCCATGACAACAAACCATGTTGACGCTTGACAACATGGTTTGATTGAACGGTGGTCCAAACAAGTCGTTCTAGCACCTGTGCAGCGGTCAAGCAATAATGTTGGGAAGGGTTGCTTCAGATCCGGTTGCCTTCCACGTGACAAGCCGTGTCTCAATCTGCTGGCCAATACTGCTTGACAGCTGCGGCTCGCCCCCCGCTGCACAAGCTTGGACAAGGCACTGCTGGGCGATACTTTTTGTAAATGGGATGATCCAGATTCCAATGTTTGCCTTGCCTCATGAGGGAGACTGCTGAAAAAGCACTCTGAGCCCAAGTATTCTTGCAGCTTGGCTTCTCCTCTCTTGCACCGAACGGAGGATCATCGTAGCACATCGGACAGATTGGGTAGCTCTTGCCCACCTCTACTCATCGCAAAGGCTTCGACAAGTGGAGTTTGTCAAAATGCCGATTCCCTCAAATGAAGTCGGCCTTGTTGGAAACGAAGACCAACCTTCAGCTTAGGCACAAGCAACAAGCCACAGTGGCTGAAGGCACCCCCAATCGGAGTAAGACCATACCCAGGAACCTGAGAGTCTAACATCGCCCCATGATGGCACTCGATGGAGCTGCCAGGAGGAAATCGCTGTTCGATCGAACTGTAGCACCGAATGCGAGGGGCACCGTGGTGGGAGCACGATTTCGAAGCTACAGCAGTGCGCCATTATAACAAGAGCACGACGAGAAGACCGTCAGCTGCAACCCTCTCACAGAAACTTGCAAAAACAACGAAACGCCAAAAGCTGTTGAAAGCGCAAACTCCGACGGTCGGAACTGCAGAACCTCTTAGTGACAATGGTGATGATTTCGCAAAGTTCCACAACACCGACAAAAAAAGGATGTGAGAATTCACATGAAACATGGCACAGTGCGGCCAGCAAGCTCGAAGTTGTCCAGGGGACATTTAAGCTCCTTGTAGAGCTTCATCTGCCCGTTCTGAGGCATTTTGAAAATTCGATTGCACCTGGGCAACTCAGGACCCAGCTATTCCAGCAACTCAATTAGGCAATGGAGTTGAAGCAAACTCTTACAGTGTATCTTTGAGCTGCTTGCGTTTTGCAGAACATCCGTACCGGCTTCCTGTCCACCACTGATAGATACCTCGCCATCAGCCGGTAACCCAACAGTGTGCGACAGGCCCACCACATGCAGCCGAGCTGCCTCTGACAATCCCCGCACCTGGAAAGCGGCCGGCCTGCAGCCTGATCGCTCTGTTGCCCACAGAAACCCTGAAACAGCTGACGTGCCAGGGACGGAGACTGCGAGCTGAAATCGTGATTCGGAGTTAATACCAAATACCAACCATCAACTTGGCGACAATTCTGTCGTGCACACAAGTGCACGCTGTCACCCCCACTACTTGCCCTCTGCACTCCCAGCGGGTTGAATTTATCACACGGCATACATAAGCATATATGCACAGTGCAAGCACGGATAGGCACTGCCTCCAAGGACTTGAATATGGTCTCGAACAGCTGGTCCACAAGATCGACATTCGCAACCTGTCAAGTCGCAAGTTTTACTTCGGGAGCCCGGCAAAGCATCGCTCAGTATACAGGCATTACTATGCGGCATTACCAATTTGAGCAGAGCTACATAATAAATGAATTTGTCGCGAAAGAGTCGTAGACAGTGCTGAACAACGGGCATAACTTCAGCTTTGCCCTCCGCTACCAGCGTGCAGTTCTTCTCCATGTTTGCACGCACCTTGGGAATGACCAACTCATTGTCCACCATCTGATACCCATGCACAAGGGCGATCCCCAGCTGCGTTGGGATCAAACGTCGTCCGTCTGCAAGCTTAACGTAGTTTCGCTCGCAGATGTTGTTGATATGTGTTGCCATGGATGCATCTGTTCCAATCCCATGCTTCTCCATTAGCGAGAGCAGGTCAGATTCCGAGAGGTACGGTGGAGGACGAGTCTTGTGGCTTCCCATGGAAACCTTTTTCACTTCAACTGCCTCTCCCCTACTGAAGTCAGGGATAACGACATCCTCCATCTCACCACTGCGCTGGATGGCCGTGAATCCAGGGTCAATGACTTTGCGGCCCGAGAGCGAGAAGCCTTCGCCGTTTATGTCAAAGTTAACTCGTGTTCGCAGAAACTTGCAGTCGGCACTGACAGTGGCCAAGAAGTGTCGCGTGATCATCTCCTGGGCACACACGTCTTGTGATAGCTTTACTTACTGATCGCTCGCGAAATAAATTCTCAGCTGGGGTGCATATAAGCGATAAGCATCTCCGAGCTGGCTTTCAGATGCCGCGCGCACCGGGGTGATGGGCGGGTGGTCACCCATGTCAACACCTTCCGTCGAGTGGATGCGAACACGAGGTTTTGTAACTTTCCCTAGGGCGAAGATCTGCCTTCCCGCGCTTTGGCGAGTCCTCTTGAAAGGAGATCTTGAGAGTATGCACCCCAGGTGTGATGCCCGGCTTGTGCTCGAACAGCCCCCTGTGCACAGAGCTGTGCACGAAAACTTCGCTGCTTTTTCCCCCCTTGCCTGCAAGTCGAAGTTCTTGGGATATGTGTTGGTTTCCGTGCGTGGGTACGTCAGGTAGCCATCCAAGTACAATCGCTCCGCCATGTGCATCGCCTGCTGCGGTCCAAGGCCAAGCCTGCCGAACTTCGTTGCTGCCAAACAGGTATCAACTGATTTGTCCCTTTTACTCTTGGTAAAACTGGCATTATAACTACTCACGCGCTGGCAGTTCCTGCTGCGTTGCTGGTATTGGTAGCATTATTGGCACTTGGGTTTGTGAGAGTACTACGACGATTACAAACGCATAGCTAACGACATGTTAGCCCGAAACCCTACGAAGGGTGCAGTACCCGTTTTGGTCGCCCGAAACCTCGGTGCTGGTACCGGGGTGCGCACTTCTGTATGAATCAGAATCGGAGATCGTGACTGCGCTCTCTACTCCTT